CATGGATGATACTTTCATCATATCTGACGAGAATACCAACATTGAAATCATAACTAAGAAGTTCAACAGCTGCTATCATGCCATCCAGCCCACGTTGAAATCAGAGATAAACTAGGAATTCCATTTTTTGTATGTTTTGCTAAAAAGGGGATCTGACGGTTCTCTGCAAAGATCGATATACAAGAAACCAAAATGAGCAGTCGTGACCAGAAGGGTGCAGCAGGTTGGGTGTGAGGACAAATACTCGCCGAAGATATTGGCTAGGGGTTGTGCTATGTCATGAATTGGTAGAAGTTAGAATTCGTGGGCCATTGGAATGGGGTCCCAGTGGCTTAATGGCATACGAGCTCGCCTTGTAACCAGAAGGTCCTGGGTCCGAACCCTACCGGTGGGTGCGTACTGATGAAGAGACTCAAACTAGAACGAAACAGTTGTACAGTGTTCCCAGGTTTTCCAATGGTTCTCTAACCAATTTCAGCTCATGATGAAAATCCTGTAGCCAATCAAATCCCTACAAACCAACATTTGAATATCAAAATGGAACTGTTAATACATGAGTTTTCATAGTTAGGTCACTTTGAGAAGAAAGACAAATCTGATCCACTTCTTATCCAGTGATACAATCGACAGGGAACTGGAATGACTCAAACAAGTCCTCATAAAAAATAGATATCCTCGAAGATTCATCGAGAAAAACATGAAGGTAAAGCAAAAGCCCGAAAGAGCCCGGACAGTGCCGAAGAAACTGCTGTTTATGAATGTTGAATTTAGAGGTGATACCGCAGCTGAGATCCTGAAGAACCGCTTATCCAGATCACTGAGAAAAGCCTTCTTTTAGGCTGAGCTACGTATCAGTTTTTCCAGCTGACGAATGATCAATGGATGTGTGAAGGATAAACTGCCGTGTGTGTTTATAAATTTTACTTGTCCTTGTGGAGTTAGATATATTGACCGCACAAAGCGCATACTTTCAAAACGTATCTCTGAACATTATCCGGCATGGTTAGCAAGAGAACAATGCAAGGCAGTTACTAGCTCAATTCTTGAGCACCTGGTGAACTTAAGCCACACCGGATTCGTCTTTCAAGATTATTTACAAGGTAAGACCTAGCGGCACAAGAGGTGTTAGACTTCGGCATTTGTGTATGGCGGAGGCATTGGCAGGTCGTCGATACAACCCCGAACTCTGTTAACAGAAAGATTTTGTCCAGTCTCTCATTCCACCATGGTCTTAATCTCTTCACTAGTCGTTCCCTGTATACATTTTATTTTTTTAATTTTTCTTCAATAATTAATTCACTATTATCACTCTCATATGTTCATTTTGTATATTTTCTCACCCTCTTCACACTTGTTAAACTGACACTCAACTACCTTTCTACTCACTCAAAAACAATTTTAAAATTATCAAATTTCTAACACTTTCTTCTTTTGTGCAATTGATTACCACGTAATTTGCAACTTTTATTTTTCTTTGATTATGGCTTGACTCCACACTGTATTTTTGGTACAAGTATGGAATTTTCAGCACGTCATATCGGTAGCCCAATTCTACAGGCCGACCATTGATATCCGGTGTGCGTCGGCCGGGGATCAAACACCGAACCATGTGACGGTCGGCGAGCGTCCTAACCGCTGTGCCACCGACGCACACAAGCGGAGTATGTCGGCCGGGAATCGAACCCGGACCGCCCACGTGGCAGACGAGCATTCTACCATTGAGCCACCGACGCAAATTCATACAGTGATACGCCCATTGACTGGGTATTGGTTTCCAGGAGAACCAAACACACCCACCCCTCCGTCTTGCGAGACGAGACCGGCATGCAGGATCATCCTGTGGCGCAACGACTCAAGAGCTCTCTCCCTCGGTGGACCAATTCTGAGTAATTATCTCAGTTATGTCATCCCTACTACACAATAATGGTAAATCTAAATACGACTGTACAGCCTCTGAAGATGATTTCATCGATAAAGGAGACCTTCATCTAATTATTATGTTCCTCAAGCACCTTAGTTCCTACTGATGTTTGATTGTCTTTCATTTCTCTACTTTTGCATGCACTACTTCCAAGCATACCACTTCAAATGAATCCAACGAATATGCACTGAAGACACGCTTGATGAAGAAGAAAGAAAGTTGTCACAAACTCTGGTTGATAACAATTATCCATACAAGTTCATCAAGAGATATAAAGTAGTCAGAACAGCAAGACCCACTCTACAACTTGCCCCTAAGAAAGACGTGTACATCAAGCTACACTATATGGGGTAACATAGCAGCTTGATAACTAGACAAAGACTGAACGCTGCAGTTAAAAAGACTTTATATGCAGCTGATATCATAATAATTGAGAATGTGAAGCCAGTATATTCATCCATCTAAGCCCTTTGAACATGCGAAAAATGACGTCACATTCCACTGTATTTATCAATTTGAATGTACGTGTGGACACAAATACATAGGAGGGAGGACTCATCGAACTCTGCCAGCAAGTAAGGGCTGGCTTCACAGTATATTCCCAAATAGCTCCAGAAACAAATAGAATCTTAAGAACCTATTCACGGTGAGAACAGGAGACCTAGTTCCTCTATTGCGAAACATATTATAGAGACAGGACATGAAATTGACGTTAACACATCTTTTAAGACTATCTATAGAACGTGTTAGGGGGGGGGGAGCGTATCCTAAAGTTTGTGGAAGCCCTTGTTGGCAACTAGGAAGTTTAAACCACCTCTATGTGTTCAAAAACAATTCATTATCACACTAAACCTCCTTCCTTGGGAAACTTTGTTTTGATACCAGCCAGGGCAAATCACCGGTAGGTGTTGGGGACATATGACACCACCCTCCACAGTTGATACATTGAGGCGATCCCTAATCGCAGTGCAGATGTCTTATTGCCTATTATCCAGCGCTTAATGCTGCCTGGAACAACTATTCATACAGATGAATGGAGTAGTTATAGTCAGTTATCATGCAAATGATTTCATCAATCCTTTCGATGGAGCTCACACTAATTCCATCGAAAGTTTTTGGAGTTACCTCAAAAAACGGATCAGATCTGTGAATGGATCAAGAAATGCAATGATATACAGTTATCTCAATGGGTTTATGTACAGGACTTGATTTAACATAATTATCAAGACTCCTATGAGAAATCGGGAGGTTTTTTTTGAACATATACGCGAATGTTATCCTTTGTAACTATTTTTTAACATTGCATTACTTTTATATAAACGACTTATATTAAAATTATGCACCGTTTTTATGGAGGCTCCTGACTGGTCAAAGTTGTCGCTGTCAAGGTCATTTATCCGTCCGCTAGGTAGTAGTTTCGGTTTGGGCTGCTTTAGTTTAGAGTCACCAAATTTTTTGACTCTCTACCTCAACTTTATAGACTTTGAGAAGGTCTTCGACAGCGTTGACCGTGAAGTAATTTGGAAACTACTCGAGCACTACGGCGTACCCCAAATATTCATCAACCTCATTCAACAGCTGTACGACAACGGCACATGTCAAGTGATCCACAACGGAAAACTCAGCGAGGCGTTTGGAGTAAACACAGGAGTCAGACAAAGGTGTGTGCTTATTATCACCAATGATATTCCTAATTGTGGTGGACTAGATTATGCGTCAGACAATGGGAAACGAGAAGATAGGGATATCCTGGACCGACGTGAAGAACCTAGAAGACCTGAATTTCGCGCGTGGATGATTTATGTTTGATGTCACACAAAATCGAAGACTTACAAGCGAAAACCGACAAACTGGTCGAAGAAGCAGGAAGTGAAGACAGGACTCCAGGTGAACATAGACAAGACGGAGGTTATGAAAATAACCAACCAACAACAACCACAACAACAGCAGCACCATCCACCGATAATCACCATCAACGGAAGGGATTTGAAAGAGGTTACTTCATTCACTTATCTAGGGAGCATTGTCTCAACTACATGAGGAACGGACGAGGATGTCAAATCGAGAATCAGGAAGGCGAGAAACACATTCATCAACCTGAAACCAATCTGGAAATCTTCGTCACTCAGCCTGCATCAACAACAAAATTCGGATTGTCAATACAAACGTCAAGTCAGTTCTTCTATACAGATCAGAAACTTGGCAGCGGGTCAAAAAGAATATTTCCAACACCCTGTTGCAGACCCTTAATCAACAACTGTCTTCGTTCTATACTCAAGATCAGATGGCTGGAAAGAATCACCAACAAGAAACTATGGGAACAAACAAACAAAGCAAGAACCAATCGCCCAACAAATATGCAGGAGAAAGTGGAGATGGATTAGACACTCGCTGAGGAGGCCGCTGGGTGACATCGCGCGTCAGGCCAACGCTCCATTGGAACTCGAAAGGGAAGCGGCGAGTGGGACGTCCAAGGGTGACATGGAGGAGATCGTGCGAAGAGGAATTGCCACAGTATGGACTAATATGGACGCAGGTGAAAAGTACAGCAGAAGACAGAAGCAAGTGGAGACGTGTAGTTGAAGCCGTATGTTCCACTAAGAACCCAAGGGAACAATAATATAATAATAAAATTTTTTGACTACATACTTTGGTAATTAATAAAATCCAAATAATTCAGAAAAATCTTGTTTTGATTTTTTTTGTTTAAACACGCTGGGATTAATTTAAATAATTTATAACTACATATTTATTATTAGCCTTGATTAGAGACTACCCTTGTTTGTATCCCTACTGGTGAACCAACCGCTTAATGAGCTAACTTTCCAAAAGAGGCAACGTAAAGAAAGTAGTCACCTGAACGCTTAAATTGAACATAGAAAGAAAATATACACACACATACACATATAAGGAATATTTCCAGCAAATTATCATTTTGAAGCATAACAGAACTTAAAAATACTAAGAATAATTCAAATGTTGAAAAAAATCATAATTAAACAATTTAAACAACTCAACAAATGTCATCAAAACAAACCATTTTATCACATTTGTTCAAATATCTTTTTCAGTATTTTTTTTATTGTCGTCGATTTGAACACATACATAAATACATTCATTTGACGTAAGGTGTTGTCGTGAAATTATAATTGTTCAAGTGTTCAATAGAAACTGATCACATACACACCTAGTTACCATTTAATAATACAGTAATAATTTAAATACATAAATATTAGCCGAAGAAGAATGTACTTGGTTACACAGCCAAAGCAGAAAATATTTCTTATTCATAGAAAAGCCTTGACAAACAAACAATGCAATGAAATATATATTTAGCATTGACTTGTTCACTTTTGTTTTACACGGCTAAACTCAAGGTCATGTATGGATGGGGTAAAGACCTATCCTACCTACCGTATATATTTCTACTACTATTATTTAAATATGGTTGACTAGATCGATAATAAGTAAGATTTTTCAATTGTTTCTCTTTTATACGTAAATTTTCAGCTTCTTGTCTTAACATTTCTTCATAGGCTTGTTCTGCTTTTTCTTGTGCTTCTAAATCAGCTTTAATTTCATTTTCACGTAATTGATCAGCTTTAATTTTCTCGCTTAATTGATTATTTAGCTCTTTATTATGCTCAACAGCTTGTTCATGACGTCTGCTCACTTCTAATTTATCATTGAGATTATCATTTTCAATTTTTTCGAGCAGTGCTTCTCTTGAGGCCAATTCTTCACGTTGTAATTGTTGATTTTGAGCTAATTGTTCAGCTACCTGTTTTCTACGATCTTCAATTACCTAAAACCGGAAAAAATATATACATATAATCATATTGTACAAGGCAAAAGATAAGGAAAATCAGAGAAGGTTGAATGGCGATTCGCCCTACAAGATACCTTTTTACAGTCTAGGTTAGATGCAACGAGTTCTAATAGCTCAGTTGTAACGTTTTTGACTGTGGCACTAGGTGATATGGGTTCGAATCTCTGTGGTGTGTAAGTGTGTGTGTGAGAAGGGCATAACTGATATAAGAATAAAACTTGTGCACTCCGGTAGAGTATAATTCCATTATGGGTAGAATTTATTTTGATAAAGTCTCACAGTGAATGAAGCCGTCACTGGGTGAGTCAAAATGGTTTAATTTAATGCCTAAAATTAATAATGCTAGTAGAATGTATGGTGCTATTAAAATACATAAGCCAGGTTACCCCATACGCCCAATAGTAGATTTCAGGAATACCCCTACTAATGAATTATCAAAACACTTAGCTCTAATATTATGCCCCATTGGGAAACGTTCAAACTCTAGACTAACTAATTCATATGAGATGAAAAATAAACTAAATGACATTCAACTAGAGAGTGATGAAACAATGATTAGTTTTGATATAACTGGTCTTTATACCAACATACCAATCAATATGGCCTTGGAAGCAGTAAAAAAAGAACTAACTGCAGATATTGAACTCACTCATAGGACAAAGCTGCCCAATGAAGAAATTATTTTAGGGATTCAGTAATGCCTCACATCTACTATCTTTAAATTCCAAGGCAAAATATATAGACAAATAAGTGTAGCAATGCGACTGATCACCAATATCCCCTATTGTAGCAGATATATTTATGGACAGCTGGGAAAATATTGCCCTTAACACAACATTCAATCCTACTCCAAAAATATGGTCGAGATATGTGGATGACAATTTCACATACAGTGTTAAAAACAGAACATATCTCTAGCTACTTGACACATGCGTAAACTCACTAGTAGAGGGAATAAAATTCACATTTGAATCGGAAGATGAACAAGGAGAATTAGCTATGTTAGATTGTAGTATACAAGGGATAGAAGAAGGGAAACTGCACACTAGTGTTTATAAATAGATATTTAGACTTTAATTCATCTCATCCGTTAACTGTTAAAGCAGGCTTAGTTAAGTGTCTAACAAACCGAGCAGTAGCACTAAGTAGTACAAGAAAAGACCTAAACGATGAAATGAAACAGATAGAAGAGGCGTTGGTGTTAAATAACTATCCTATAAAATTCATTAGGAAGATCAGAAAACGTCAAAAGCAAAATAAAAATAATTGTGAAACTAGTTGTGATAAAATGAATAAGAGAGAATATAAGGCATCTACTGATATGTCATATAAGGAGGGGACATCTGAGAACCTACGTAGGATTCTTAATAAAGCAGGAATTGAAGTGGCATTTAAACCTACAAACTCAATCACGCAGGACAAGCTCTGCAGGTTACAGAACCCTGTTGGTTGACCCAATTAAACAAAATAATATAATTTACAAAATACCTTGCAATGACTGTGAGTTAAGTCAACTATATAGGTCAAACTAGTAGTTCATGGGCAATCAGATTGTCGGAACATAAGAATTTAGATGAGGTAAGAATGGTTGACCCCGAGAAGATAAGTAATTCAGAAAAAAGCTCAGCGATTGCACTGCATACATTAACACACAACCACACAATAGGGTGGGAGAGGGTTAAAATTCTAAAAAGTAATCTAAGTAGGTGGAGAGAGAGGTCGATTACTGAATCCTTGTTCATCGAATCTACACCCAACACATGCAATAGGAATGATTCATCACTCATACCCGAAATATGGAAAATAATACTACCAATCAAATCAAGCGATGAAAAATAGTGGAATTATATAAACGAAGTTAGAATGTTGTGTGAGTAGTGCCTTGTTATGATTATGAGCTGCAATAAATTGTGCTCGTAACGTCATCAGTAAATAATACTGTATAACACTGAGACTTGATCAAAATAAATTTCACCCATAATGGAAAGGCATAACTCCCTTTGAAGTCGCAAATACACCTTGCTGATGAGTGTTGGTGAGCACGAAACCCGGGTCAGACAAGGCTCCTTCTTCTAATCATCTCCCATAAAAATTTTCGATTACGTGTTCTATAAAGAAATTAGAGGAAGAATTTTTGTTTCTCGAAGAGATGTTGAAAAGTAACGGTTACCCTCAAAGGTTCATTAACAAGTACGGAAGATCTGAAGTTTGAAATGCCAAGCAAATCACAGTGGAGAAAAAGCCCATCTACATTCAATTTGATTATAAACGTGGAAATATTACAGCAGTTGTCAACAGAAGATTGAGATCGTCACTAAGCAGAGCCTATTCGATAGCTAAGCTCGTTCCCGTCTATCAAACAACTTGCTCTTTGGTGCAATCAAAAATCGACAGATATCCTTCTCATGTTAACTCCAAATGTATATACAAATTTACATGTATCTGCGGGAGCAGTTACATTGGAAGGATAGAAAGAAGGGCATACTTGCGATTTTCTGAACATGTACCAAAGAGCCTACGTCTAAACGGAACAAATACTTTAGACAGTGCCATCGCCAAGCATCTGCTTGACACGGGTTATGAGGTGGACGTCGCAAAATCGTTCAAAATAGGCAAGAGTTCAATTCTCCTCAAGTTTGCCGAAGCGATTTCCATCAAGCGCCTGAAACCCGATTTATGCGTTCAGAGAGAAGCAGTTATCAGTCTTTCTTTGCCCTGGTAACTGGATATTTTCACCCTCTCTTTCATCTGATTGCGCAATGCCGAAAGTTTCCATTTTGTATAGTCATTATTCTTCGGTATGAAGTGTTTATTGTTACTATATATATTATTACTGTATTCATATATTGATTGATTTTTGTTTAAAAATGAACCCTGTGCAAGTATGTTAAAATCGTCCATGTAGATATACTTAATAATGACTTTGGGCTGTAAGCAGCTGATGAGAAGCCAATTAAATAAGCAATGATGGTACTATTTTATTCTGCAAAAACTGTTGTTCTTGCTTTATTCAAATTCATTAAGGGGAATAAGTGTATGAAATCTCCAATTTCTCTTTACTGTTTGTTGCCACTTTCCATATATCCGGCTCAGGAGTTGCATCATTTCGATTGCACATGTGCAGTGTTGAATCGATAAATAAGGCTTCAGTGATTAACCTCTCTCTCTCTCACTCCACCTAACTACATTACTTTTCAATATTCTTACCCGGCCCCATCCTGTTTTGTGATTACATGTCTGTATAATTGTATTGTAACCATACTCTCCGACCCCCAACACCCCCTCTACTCCCAACTCTCGCCTTGTATCTCATCAAGTAGTACCAGAAATCAGTATAAAATAATTTATGCTCGTACAACCAAGTACAGGAACTCAACGATACCATACTTGGCCTGTGTTCTAAGTGACAGAGACAATGTTAAGCGCGAAACCTATGACTTGCTTTGTTGTTAATAACATAATTTTAGGCTCTTTTATTTCTCTCTTATTTTGTATTCTATAGTGAACTCCTTCTTAAACATACTTAGCTACATAAATTATTAACATTGGCTTACTTTTTTGTACTTTACTCTATTCCTTCTTTTGTGTATCTACTGGTTCCGACTATATTAGCACTATGAGTAGTACAAAATTGTCCTGTCATTAATCATCATGTAATTATTAGTTTTGTGGTTGTTTTTTCTTTTTGTTCGGCAATATTAACTATTTGGTTGTGAACGCCATTATCACCACCTTGAAATTTTGTATTATGCAGGATTACTCACACTACCACTACAAACACTGCATTAGACCTGACAGTAAAAACCCTGAAATGTTATTTTATGATTGTTTAGTGTCGTTTCAACCAAATTAACTGATCTTCTTGGCGATAAACATTCTTAAATATCATTTCATAACTTCTTGTATGACTACAGCTTTACTGTCACCATGCATAATCACATCATAGCTTCCACTACCCAATACTGAATTATTATTATATGCTGTTTATTTTCCTTTCTACTTCTTGGTATTTTTTTGCACTTTTTTAAAATTATTTTTGTGTTTGTTTATTTTTGTTGTTGTTGTCTTTATATTTATTTTTCGAAATACTCCTTTTAAACGTTGGATAAAATTAGATGCAAATATTGTAGATATGTGCTGAAAATTCCACACTGTACCACTAGTACTGTTTCTGGAATAAAGCAAATTATTATTATTATTATTCCAAATTTCCTGTACTTATTCTCTTGACTAAGATACCTAGAAAGGGATTTTAGCTGCCTGATTCTTCTTCTCATGTTAATTTCGTTTCTTCAAACATGCTGATGATTAATTTACGAGTGCGCTCCTCATATTAATTCTTCTAATTATGATGAATATATCATCCACGTAACGTATCCCGAGTTTCGGTTTGATTATTGGTAGGGATGTGTGCGTCGGTGGCGTAGTGGTAGAATGCTGGCCAATCAAGCCACAGATGGTCCGGATTTCAATCCCCGGTCGACGCACTCCTTTACCTCACTAAACCAGTAATAAAACTGGTAAAGAGGGAAGGTTGGGGGCATGAGGCTAGCAACCCCATCCCGTAAAAATAAACACCACTGCTACCGAAACTTCAAGCCTCTATCTTGAAGGCCTATGTTCCACTGGGAACATACAGTAATAAAAAATAAAGATATTGGTAAGGATATGGCTTCCAGTTTTGTATAACAGTATCAGCAATTACTCCCGATAGGGGTGATTCCACTGATGTTCCTTTTATTTGATAGTATCCTTAAAATCAGTGTTGAACATATGTAAACCTAAAAACACAATGTATTATAGCTTCGCGGTTAAACCATCCACCTCAGAGAACACAGTTACACCAATATCATCCATCTGAGCTACACACTTCCATCGTTTTTATCACCATTTCAAGTAAACATTATAGGATGTTTATGTATCAGTATGCGCTAATAAGCTAAAGACAGAAGCATAGGGGGATTATTTTCTTAAATCAATTGATAAGAAAAATCAGGCTGACTTTCAAATACATTATTATTATTGTTATTATTATAATTAAGAATCCCTATGCCAAATAATTCAGAACATATAAGTCAGCGAAGAGACTTTCGTCTCCTGCAATGAGGATCCGAAGAATCTGCAACCCTCAGTCGACAGATGAAAAGATCGCTACTTTAAGGATGACACTAAGTGAAAATCGTTCACCTACACACTTCATAGACAAGCACATAAAACTGAAAACCAACAAAGAAAATCACATCTCTGCGCCGAAAAAAGATGCTAAACATGAATATGGTGTTCTTCAAAGGGGACCTTCTGGCTGACACTCTAAATATTTATTTAAACGTAGAAAAACTTGGTACAATATGGCACCAAGACGATGAGCCACACTCATTTCATTTATTGTGTGAGGGCTGAGATACTGCCCGGGATCCCAGACCGAAGCAGGTGGTTTTCATAAGGGACCAACCCCCCCGAGCTTCTGACTTGGAGTCTAACCCGCAAGACAGAGGAGCAGCGTCAGGAGATACGTTCCCATAGTTGGTTCATATGCTATTTGATCCGATTGGATTCTGGAGCCCATGTACCCCATGGTAACTGTTTTTAGTCTAACCACTATCCAAACAACCTTTCTGACATGATAGGACCTGCAGGAACATGAGTCCTAGCCAGTTTAGCTTGTTGGGTCACTGTGGTATGCAAGCCCGATCACCACGACAAGGCACCAGTTGTCAGCAGGGACACTCTAAATAGGAGAACATCAAATGACCTGAAAAGAGCATTCTTCACTTCTACATTACGATTGGTAGTCCCTTGCCGCTCAATTTTCTTCCACAACTCCGAAGATAAACTATCGCATTTGACTGCTTCTATGTGTATCTACCATTTTACTTGCTCATGTGTGTTTTTATCTAAAACAGTCGAAGAACATTATCCCGCTTAGCTATGTATAGGTAACAATGGATCAATAAGAATGGCTATAATTGAACATATACTCAACACTGGCTACTCAGTATGTATGGAGAATTCTTTCAAAGTTATCTACAAGGTCAAAAGAAGCCCTCTTGAAAACAGTAAGCCTCTGTATACTTTGCATCAAGGAGGGCCTTAACGATTTGGATGGAGAATCCTGATTTATGTACATACAGAGAAGAAACTTCTCCATCCCCTTCTTCTACCATGGACATAATTTCAAGTTCAATTGTTATCACCATTTTGTTAGTGACACTGTTTTGTGCATTTTTTTTCGTATGGCACTTAGTATCATCATTTGCTTGACTAACCTTTTGTCTACTCTCTTCACCTACTACATAATTCATTTTGATAATTGTCTCCATGCTCTATCATTAACATCCAAATTTCCTCAGTGTGTTCTTCATATTATGCAACCTTAGTCTGAACTTTATTCATGTATTCATCACTCTTTCGAAATATTTTAATAATGTGAACAATACTGCAAACTAATATTTTATTCTTGCGCTATGTATTTGTATACATGCAAAAATAATAAATTATATATGATTGCGATTGTTCAGTTAGGTGAGTGATTTCGCCAAAAAGAAACTCTTCACTGAACTGTTGGTGTTTATTTCTTGTCACATTTACAAAAAGAGATCTCGTTCAGGATTTCATCATGAGCTGACATTAGTTAGAGAACCACTGGAAAACCAGCTGGGAGTACTGAACAACTGTTTCGTCCTAGTTTGGAACTCTTCATCAGTACGCATCCACCGGTAGGCTTGGAATGCAGGACCTTTTGGTTACAAGGCGAGCTCGTATACCATTAAGCCACTGGGACCCGATCCAATGGCCAGTCCATGAATTCTAACTTCTGCCAATTCACGTCAAGTAGCGCGACCGCTAGCCAATGTCTTCGGCGAGTATTTGTCCTCATATCGGACCTGCTGCACCCTACTGGTCACGACTTCTCACCAGAACCCCAGGTAACTACCTACCTGTATAGGGCAAGTCGCTAGTGAGCATCTCATTGATATTCAAGTGTTGGTTTGTAGGGATTTGATTGGTTACAGCATTTCCATCATGAGCTGACATTAGTTAGAAAACCACTGGAAAACCTGGGAGTACTGGACAGCTGTTTTGTCCTAGTTTGGGACTCTTCGGCTGATTTATGTATCCCAGTTCTTCTTCTTCTTCTTCTTCTTAGTCACTCTCTGCATTCCAAGTGGAATGTATGGCTTCAGCAGGACATCTTGAATGTGGTCGGTCATCTGCTATCAATTCCAGCTGGCTCTTCCATCACTCACAAGTTTTCATTTCATCTTCACCCGATCTCTTTCATGTCGCCTATGGATACCCAACTGCTTCCTTTCCATCCGGTGTTCATTCGACGGCCTGCCTCAGAGTGTATCGAATCCATCTCCGTTTTCTAGTGTTTATTTATAGGGGGGGATAGGCTGTTAGTTAGTTCATTGCCTGCCAGAGTTGTTTCTTCATACCACTTTCTGTCGAGTTATGTCATCTTTACTGTCAAGCAAAAAGGGTATCTGTTGAAGCCCTGCCTGAGAAGCCTTTCCTTACAGGTGCTACAATTCATTTGTTATTAAATACCCTGATGTTCTTTGAAGTTGTTTGTTAAAGTTTAACTGAAAAACAGTGAAATAAATAAACCAAACTTACTTCTTGTAAAAGTTTTTGTCTAGCAGCCGTTTCATTACGCCATTCTTCTTCACGTTTAGCCCATATCCTTGAAGCTTCATAACTGAACATATACAATAATAATAAATAATATTAAATTGTGACTGAATATATGTTTCAGCGCAAAAAACTCCTACACTTTCGTTTCACCCTACCTACATGAATAGTCATCGCCTTCCTTGACGGGCAATGTTAGCTGATATAGGGTCAGGCTGGAAAAGAGCTAGCGGCGGTCTAACGAAAACATGTCACCAGTCAATGAAATCCACAACAGTTAGTCTAAGCCACGTAGGAAGGTGTAGACTTCTAGGTTGGGTTCCTCGGGACGGTAAAAACCAATGGTTGGAAACAATTGGTGACATGGCTCAAAATCATTCTCAATAGCTGTCGCAGATGCATCCACTCCTTGTGACTTATGACTTCCAATTAAACTGTTTTGTTCTTCGCTATTACTATTCCTTTGTCTCACACCTCTGTTTACTGTCTCTATTATGCATTTCTCCTCTTTCTTTGTGTGCTACATGGAGTGTGGCGACTTGAACTGCCGCACATATATGCAAAGTTCTATGTCGAAAACAGACAGAAAGGCGGAATGAAGGCGATCAAATACTATTTAAACTTTGACAGATTTGTTGATCTGGTATGATTTTGTATTACAGGCTTAGAAGAATGCTGTAATCATGTCAAGTGTTACTTCTGACTGTTTTAAAAGTTTCATAATCGTTATAATTAGGGTTTTCCAATAGCTCTTTCAAGGCTTTGAAATGCTTGTCTCTTTCGGATGGTTGTTTGAAAACTGATGACCTGTATCCACCAACTTGGCTTTAAACCAATCCTGACTTTCAATTGATGTTGAGACAAGAGGTTTAAGTTGGTCATACAGGCTTTGGAATTCAGTAGGTTTGGCTAAATCCGTAAATTGCATACATGGAACACAAAATTTTCGTCCAAGGGATAAAGCTTCTTTCTGATGTGTGGATAGAGTAATATCAAAAAGATTTGTCATGAGGAAACTCTAATATAACGATTACAAAACCTGATAAAGGTTCTGGAGTTTGCGTTGGTTACACCTAGAGCTTTTATCCTCATCCAAAAATTATTCACTTTAGAAAAAAAATGAAAAAGAAACTGTCCACTTTATTTCACATTTAGTTGAATAGCATAAATTTAAAATAGCTAACCTGTATTACTAAACTACAAGGTTCAAATATATTGGCTATAGACACAGCTGCTTATTAACCAATCATATGCCGAATACCGTATTCATGGATGATTTTGATTGGATAATAAAACGTATATAAGTTTGCCGTTTTTATTGTCATTGAAACTTTCCTAGATTACGATGATGCACCCTACATAAATAACCTGGTATGGCGGAAAGTTTCTACACTGCAGTCTTCTTCCTCGAATGCTCTCATGTGACCATACGTGCATAGCTTCTACCAGGTGAATCATATTCACTGCCTTCACACGATAGGGGTATTCCTCACAACAGTAAAAAGAGTGAGTGAGTGGACTCGTGGACATTCTGGTCTACCGTAGAGAACTGGAAAACCTTGGTTCCCAACCTATGATGTATATGTGCAGCAGAATCCAAAATGAATAAATGGCATATGAACCTGTTTCGGTCACTGAGAACTATGGAAACGTAACTCCTGACTCTGCTACACTGTCTTGTGGATCAGACTTAAGGTGAAAGGGTCGACGGAGAGTGTCCCCTTAAGACAACCACCTACCTCGGTCTGGGCGTCCTAGTAGTACTCCAGCCCTCACACAAGCTATGAGATTTTGTGTCGTGTATCTCTTAGTGGCCATTATGTACCAAGTTTACGCTTGAATAATAATCAATATATGACAACTAACAAATTTAGGTTTCAATTATTAAGTTTATTGTTGAAAAGTGTTTTTGAACTGGTAGGGAACTGATTGATGTCAAGGTAAACTTTGTAACCATTAGAAACCAGTCAGGAAATACTAGAAAGCTATTTCGTACACACCTATTATCCCAACCAAGAAAAAAGAACCTGGTACTCAGACACTGCAATGGAATATAATGTCCCACAAATTACTACTTTGGTCTATTCTCAAGATAGCTCCACCGCTATCCAATGTCATCGGACAGTGTTAGTCCTTACTAACTCAACTTTATTGGTCCTCAACAGTCAAGACATCTGAGAGAGATTCCAAGAAGTTCGTTCTGTAGTCAGGCACTTGTGAGTTCTGTAAGATGTATAGCAAACAAGCAAGCGACAACTGATAAAATCGATACTTTGGAAGAAATTTTTTTATTTATTTTGTTCCTCTACTTTCCGAGTGGCAGTGGTTTTATTGTTACGGTTGGGGTTGCTAGCCTCACGCCTAACATTCCCTCTTTAGCGTCTCATCGAGGTTAAGGAGTGTGTCGGCCGGGGATCGAACTCCAGACCATGTGCGTGGTTGGCGGACGTTTCAGAAGAGCAATTATATATATATATATTACTCAATCTTCCTGCTGAATACTCAAAGCACTGGTCTCGTAATCTGAAAGTTCTGAGTCCAATACTTTTCTGAGTGATGAGTCCGTACTGTTGAAGAGTCTAAAACCAGGACGAAATAGTCGCTCAGTTTCCTTTGCTTCCATGTACTGATGGTTCAGTGGTGAAACGTTAGCCAACCGTGAAGGAGTTCCCGATTCAATTACCAGCAGAAGAACTCCTATACCCAAGCCAGTTTACTAAGCTTTAATAGTCCCAGGAATGACAGTCAGTTGGATGTATGGCTGATAACCATAAGTCGTAAGAGAAATAAACACTACACCGCTACATCAATTGCAAACAAGAAACAAAATTACGTTATTTAATTGGTGGATGGTGACTAGCAGTGGAACCCAGGATGCGCATTTCGTCCTGTTTGGGACTCGTCAGTTGGATGTACCTGCATTTCACAGTGAGTGATCATGCGCATCCTGGATTCCATTGCTAGTCACCATCCACCAATTAAATTCTAATGAAATGCCCAGACATCGTCGAAGCATCTGCACAACAAGCCAACATGTCAACCTGAGACCGAGCACTTCGGTCCAATCAATCGACGGAAAAATCTAAAATTCAATTTTTAAAAAATACTTTGTATTTATTTTTTTTACTTACGCTTGTAATTCATTTAACTCTAATTCTTTAATTTTCTCTTTTTTCAATTCACATTCAATTAATTCTTGCATTGCTAGCACATTATCTCTTTCTGTACGTTTTTTCTCCATAGCATTTTCATGATCTAAATTTTCTTGTTCAGCTAACTGATTTAACCAATTTAAATCAGCTTTTAATTCAGATTGTATAAATTCTGAACGTTTTCTTAACGCTGTTTGATGTTGATGCAGTAGTGCGCGTCCGTAGAGCTCACGTTGACATTTTTCTTCAATTTTACGTCGTTCTTTTTCCAATTGATCAATCTGAGCTAATTGTTTAATTAAGGCTTTTTCTTTTTCAACTAATTTATTTGCCTAATTTAAATATTTTGTCGGGAAAAAGAAGTAAAATACTTTGAACTACTTATTTGCTTTTTAGTAGTATAAATTTAATGCAAAAAATGCATAAACTACAAATATATAAAAATGTCATGAGGAGGGCGAAAAATAATACGGCCGACATATCTACTTCTATGGAGTGAATCCTCAAACCAACTTGAGAGTCATCTACAAAGAACGCGGAAATCTTGTCAAAGAAGTATGAATCAAACTCGTTTAAACTGCAGTATCTATGGTAATCCACATGTTAAATCCTGAACTTTACATAGAGAAGAAGTTTGTCCAGTCACTAAGCCTACAAATGACCTAATTTGTCTTAACAGTTGTCAAAATCTTCCCAAGTATATATGATCAGGCTCTGAATGTATTTTTAATGTGATTACATGAAGGAAGTTTTTATCAGGATCGCGATAAAGATAAATACTATTATGGGAAAAAGTAATCTTACCTAGAAGACATGCACTGTAATAAAGGTTTTTGTATTTCCCAATGAATGAAAAACAAAACGATATTGTTTTTACTGACGTTTCGCTATTTAATGCTAATAGTTTTATCAGATAAAAATTCATACAATTAGTTCCCTTTATGAATTTAGATAAAGCAATAAGAAGACGTAATTTGTCAGAATCGTGTAATGTATTTGCGCAACACATTTCGAACAATCTGATCACACACGGACTTGTCATAGGAATATATATGATGTATTTACCAATTTGAGTGTACATGTGGACACATATACATAGGGAGGACTCATCGATCTCTGCAAGTAAGGGCTTCAGAGCATATTACTAAATGGCTCCAGAAACAAATGGAATCTTCAGAACCTATTAATGGTGAGAACAGGAGACCTGGCTCTTCTGTTGCGAAACATATAATCGAGACAGGACATGAAATTGACGTTAATAGATCTTTTAAACCTAGCTATAAAATGTGTTTGGGGAGGGCGTATCCTGAAGTTTGTGGAAGCCCTTGCTGGCCACTAGGAAGTTTAAACCACCTTTATATGTTCAAAAACAATTCGTCATCACACTAAACAACCTTCCTTGGTAAATTTTGTTTTGATGCCAGCCAGAGCCGATGCACTATTACCTCTGCTATTTAGTTTAGTGATCTTCATTGTGATTTTGACCTTCAATATGTCATTTTAACTTGACGTAAGTCTATTTTCTCACCGCTTAATTCTTGATAAATTTCATACATATATATTCCTATGACAAGTCCGTGTATGATCAGATTGTTCCAAATGTGTTGCGCAAATACACATTACATGATTCAGACAAATTACATCTTCTTATTGCATTATCTAAAAATTCATACCTTCAGAATACTAAAAAAAGACAAAGTCTGCTAATGTATTCACAAATATATGGCTTTACTGTGTCTATTAGTTTAAGGGTCCTGTTTTTATCAATTAGATTGATAAATGTTCTCAGATGCTTTCGTGACTAAACATCTTGGGTTTCTTTTTTACTAAACTGTAACCTGCCATACGAATATTTCTCAATCATAGTGTGTGATGAGGGCTACTACCTCAACGTGCTTTCTTCGCTTTACGATGTATTATTTAGTGTATTGAGCTGAAAACCCTCAGGTTTAAGGTGGTTGGAGACATTCGGCCTCATTTTCTCGATCATTCTATCAATCAATATCTCCATTCATGGGACTGAATAACTTCGCTGATAACTTCTCAGATCATAGAGCTGGCCGATACAGGTTCGGATTTCAAGGAGGATACCAGTTCCTTCAGGGTTGCGAATGCATCTTGCTGGTAACTGCCGACGAATCGATTGCTTTTAACCATGTAATACCGATTCTAAATATCCTGGGGTGGTGAGTTAACTAGCTCGATGGCCACCTTGCAAAGCTGACTGATAGACATTTGTAAAAAATTATATTTGTAAAATCTCAGCGAGAGTGAAATGAGTAATTCCAACGTTTCGTTAGGTAATCTGGTCCGAACTTCTTCAGGGAAATTAATCGAAATTAACATAACAGAAGTTTTATATATAAAAGGAACATCACTTGTTTTTAAAAACTTTGTCCAATCATGAATCATTCAACAAGTATAATAAACAAAATTTTATGAGCTGTGATCAAAATTTGACCTCGGACTTACAAATATTGGTCTACCTTTGTTAAACACTTTAAACAGAGTGTGTATGTGTGTGTGTGGGTAAACAGTTGTAAAACATTTCTTAACGTCTCCATAAGAAGATATAGACAGTCAGGAATTTGACCAAGTATTAATAATTAGTGATACATATCCATTTTTATTTATTAATCAGGATTTCCTATGCATCAGCTAACATCACGCCTTCATGTCTGTTCAAACTGTTAGTATCTAGAATTTTATGATTAGACGTATTTTCAAAATAATGGTGTTTAGGATTAGAGTTTAGTAGAAGCATCCTGTTGGACTTATTGCTTTGTCTTCTTTCTGAAGATTGAGCTGCTTTATTCAACCTACTGGAGTTGTCAGGTGACTCGACAGCGACGGATTTAGGATACGCATTCTGTTGCAGACAACGCAGAGTGAAAACACGATGATTGTGCCAATTACATAGTTTCTTTGTTAATTTAATTCGATAGCAATATAATTCAAATGAACTGTCGTCAAGATTTGACAGAATAGTTCTAAAATATTTGCACGCCGAGTGAGAAGTAGACATTTGACCGATGGAACTCAGTCAGTATCATCAAAAGAGCTAGAAAGATGACATTATTTGCTCCCTAGTGACCAATCAATAAGTCCTCCGATTACCTTTATGGAGTCAGAAAATTCAGTGACGCTCATCAAGATTCCATTGGTGTTGAGGAGTAAGATATGAATGATATATAGACATGTATTGGGAGATATATCACTGATAAGTAAATAAACTACAATGAATCCATCATGCAAAACTAAAGGTGCAGATGTTTAACAGGTCAAGTTTAAATAGATGAGGAGACGTAATGATGAGAGATTAAAATTGAAAGCATAATGGATTACAACTCAGTTACATCACAATAATAAACGGTTAGTCATCAGAAAAGAAAGTTGAAAATGTCAGAAATTAAAAACCGAATTAATCGTAATAATAATCGTAATGACAATGAGACGAGTTAAGACAATGGTAATGCCAAAAGATAGTTTTAACTGAGTTAGTAATAATAATGATAATAGATGGGATAAAACTCAAACAATAATATTGTGGTGAGAGCTGTAGACAGCAATTTGCGTCAATGTTACGTCCCGAATCAGGGTCGTGAGAAAAAAACAGACAATAACAAAGCTTTACCTTGTGGAATTCACTAACCAATAACAGCAAACTTAACGTGTGCAAATACGATTCGCAGATATATGGCTTAACTTTCTAAGAAACGGTCACATGCAGTACAGAATAACCTCCCGCAAGAAAACAACCAATCAGAAGACGTTGCTTCTCTGCTAACAATAATGGATAATAATGTACCTAAAAATCTACAAATATCTGTTGATTTTCTCAATAAACGATCTGTTGCCTGGCCCTAGTCTTCTCTCGTTACAGTACTACCTTCCCTTTTTTCTTCCTTTTTTGTCCTCCTGAATAGAGAACCATTGGAAAATAGGAGATGGGATAAAATTTAACCTATAATATTGTAGTGAGAGCTGTCTGCAAGCCGAAATTGTAGACAGCAATTTACGTCAATGTTCACGTCCCGAATTAGGGTTATGAGAAAAACAATAACAAAGGTTAACCTTGAGAGCATCACCAGCTGATCACAGCGGAGTTAAAGTGTGGAATATGTGTCACCGACATGTGACTTGATTTTCTGAGAAATAGCCACAAAGAGATAACTGAATAACCTTTTAGCAAGAAAACGACCAATCAGAAGAGGTTGCTTCCCCGCTAACAATAATGTACTTAAAAATTTATAAATACCTCTTGATTTTCTCAATAAACGATCTCTTGCCTTGCCCTTTTCTTCTGTCATTACAATGTTGCTCTATATATAACCGGGTGGAGTTGCTAACCACATGTATAACTTCCCCTATTCACCAAGCTTACTACAGGGTTAAATGAGGTTTAAGAGTGTGTCGGCTGAGAATCAAACCTGGAAGAGATGCAAGATTGGCGAACATTCTACCAGTGGACCACCGGATGCACCCTAACATACTCATCGATAAATAATTATGGACGTATTATAAACAACATCCATCAACTCACCTCTTTTTCACGTGAATTCAATTCATCCAATTGTTGTCGAAGATGCTCTAAATGTTTTTCTTTAGCTTGTAAACGTTGTAATTCCACTAATTCAGCCTGTTTTTCATCACGTTTTTTAGTTTCTGATTCAATTTCTTCATTGACAATTTGATTCATTGTCTCTGACTGTTTTAACTTGATATTTATTTATTTGTTGATAAAGAAACAAAACAAAAATGAAAAGAAAAATTGTTGTTTGAGAAACATTAGTTTTATCACAATACAGCTTGAGTGTAATTCACAAACTGAGAAACACTTCAAAAGCATTTTGCTTCATTTTTTGGAATTCTCTGTCGAGTTTTGCATGTTCTTGATCATGTGTATGGAGGTGATGCCAAAATTGTCTTGAATGCATCTTGACAACTATTGTACAGTTCGGAGCCGAACAACTCAGGTGTTTTAACCTTTGCCAATTAGTGGTACAGTGTGAGCACTAAGCATTATACCAAAAATGTGACTGCACTCACCATTAAAATTAATTATGTTCTGTAACTTAGTTTAACAAAACAAATGAACCCTAGAAATTTATGAATCAATGTAGTCTTTTGAATGATTCATTTTGAGTACACAAATATCTCTCAATGATTGAATTCTTTACAGAAATTGGTTGAGTGTCTAAAATTTCTGTCAACCTCTATACATGGGTTGGTCCCAAAAGCGTGAACAGTATCATCTGTCTACTAGCATTTGATATTGTATGAATCAATTTTGCCAGGTAATCATTAAGTTAGATGACTCGACATTCTGGTGCACTTTGAATTAATGTCAGATAGATGAAGATAATTTCCTAGTAGCCCTGGACATATGTCTAATAATAAAATTTAGAACAACACATTTAAGCCAACAATATTGTTTTCAATTGGATCTGATCAGGCTTAACTGTAATATACATAAGTTTACAACTAGAAATTCAAATACAAACCAATCATGGTGTTCTGTCTATAGGATAGTAAGATGGCGAATATAAATTGTGCAATTGACGGAGATGGGCTATCCGAGGAGTTTCATAAAGATACATATGAAAACATCAGAGAGTAAACCTGATACTATGACTGCACGTAAGAAACCTCTATTTATTAACTTACAATTTAATGGTGACTAATCAAGTGAGATTTTATTCCAGACACTTTCCAGGAGTATACCAAAGAACGTTTTACGCAGCATACCTATGTTTGTCATTCTCTAGTCGACAAATGATTGGGACGCAAATGAAGGATAAGCTAGATAGTTTTACCACATATCTATGTGCATTTATCAATTCAACTGCATCTGCGGTGACAGTTATATAGGGCACACTACTACTAGACAGTTTAGCCAACATGTTAGTGAACATCTCCTATCGTGGTTTGGCAAAGGACAGATAAAAACAATCCGTAGCTCAATTTTGTCACACTTAATTGATAGTGGTCATGTAATCGAGAAAACGAGAGCCTTCAAAGTGATTCATCGTACCCCATCGCATCTTTCCAATAGACTTCGTATTCGTCTACTGCACACAGCTGAGGTGATAGGCATTCGAACTATTAAACCTAAACTATGCATTCAAAAGAAGTTCGTACAGCCATTATCTCCCCCTTGGCCTATTAAGACATAACCAACTGATGACTTATACACCACTCCTTACTTATATTTTCAACCCCTCTCTTATCATCCCTTAATTTTATCACATCATTAAAAACGTGTTTCATTTACTTCCCTTACAATCTAGCATTACTGAGTCGGTTCATTTGTTTTTCTTAGCCTTTATCGACTACTTTTACCTGAACATTTGTTTGTTCAATCATACCGTTCTTCGTTATTCGTCTTATCACAGATTGCCTCACTTTTACATCCTTATTATTGATAAAACCATTATTAGTATTATCATTACTACTATTATGACTATTTGTACAATTTATATTCACCATCTTATTATCCTATAGACAAAACACCATGATTGGTTTATATTTGAATTTCTATTTGTAAACTTATGTATATTAGAGTTAAGCCTGATGAGATCTAAATGAGAACAATATTGTTCGCTTAAATGTGTTGTTCTAAATATGTCTAATAGGACTAACCAACAAGCCAAAATCTTCATTATGTACACAAATAAACTAGCTTCCGACCAACTGCCTCCAAACATGTAGTATATACAAATGGCGGCCTGCCTAAAACTTGGGCTACAGAAAACCTCCATCAATATACCGCATATAGTTTCTTCTCTTCTGTTTGTTTAAATCTATAAAAGTATGATCTCTTATAGTATTTATTGTTTACTCTAGCGAGTATTTCAAACATTTACGACCTGCTGATTTGCAAGTTTCTGCTAAACATGAGAAAAAGCATTATCCCGGTAGCAGCTTATCCTAATACATGAGATGACTATTCCTGAGTGGTGTCCTTAGTTCACAAAATATATTCCTAAACCTTTTATAATTGGCACTCGGCTAAATGTCGTGCATTTCTCGAAGGAGAAGAAGAAAAGGCATCATAATGGATTGGTTTGCACTTCAAGCCATAAAGAACTGTGTCACACGATCTACCATCGATTATTCTTTTATTTTAAGATCACAGACGAAGCACCGCTGAAAATTCTGTGCATTACATAAATATTGCTTCAGAATATAGCTATTCCTAGTATTGTTACTATTATTGTTATAAACGCCTATCCATCGCGATGAATTAATCGCCTAAGTTTGGATATGTTTAACTAGCCTTTAAATATCAGAAACTAAGAGACAATAGATAGGATGCCCAAAACCTCTTGGTATCCTCAACAAGGAGTATATAAAACTGTTTGGGACTGCGTTACACTATTCATTTTAATATGCATAAGTTCATTTCAAAGTACTCAAAGCTGAACATATCACTCCGATGAATCATGAAACAATTGTAATTTAGTTTGCATAAGTTATTCTGAATATACATCCCCAATAATAAAACACACTTTACCTTATCCCTAATCAATCATAAAGAATGTGAATCGTCACCTGCATTCCATTTTTTTCACTTTGTGTAACTTCGAAAGGAAATTGGTTAGAATGTTATGATTCTTGCACATTCATAACCCTTTTATTGTTACTTAACTTTATGCATTTCATGTGAATTATCTCTAGACTCTAGATAAACGGTAATTAAGCTTCGACAAGGGAAATTTGTGTACAAACAAATATTTGTGAAGACATACAGAGGAGCGATAAATATTAATGACAAAATACATTTGCCTAAGTTTAACCGAACGGGTGGGGAATTGACATATAATACCGAACATGTCAACTTTTACAATCAGCTTACATAAAACAACCTATCAATGTCTACTATGAAGTGAACTTTTTTCAGTCAATCACAAGAGTTTAGGAAAATGCTAAGAGTCTAAAATTTGGTGACACATATCGAATAAGAAGAAAGAATATTTAATTTGTGATAAGAATTTCGCTACATTATGAGGAATTTAGTGATTAGTTTTCCAACTAGTTAAAAGTGTAATGAATAAAGGTTATACACAAATAGTACATATGAATATATAAATAAGTGTCATAAACTGCTCATTATCATATGATAGGAAGAAAGTTGATCACAAATTGGTTATTCGTGTCTGAAATAGGGATTTTGATGAACATATTCATGAGGAAAACTGATCTTTATAGAGATATATACTGGCAATTGATACGGCCTATCTCAAATGTTTTTCAAAATACTGCAGACACAGATGTAAAATAGTTTGCCTTATTGAATATTGTTTAGCCAAGTAAAATTTAATCATCTGTCGGAGAAAACATCAGGTTTCTAAAATGTTTCAAATATAAAGGGTTTCTCACACTGACTTTTCATTACACATTATGAATGACCTCTGGTCACGCCAGTTTGCAGTCTTTTGATCCTCAAAATAAGCTTCTAAAAAGACTAACTTGGCACATTCTTATACTGCGTTAATCCCTCACAACCATATGTGCCTTGTGACTACAGAATTTTTCTGGAAAAACTTAACGATAACCTCTCAGTCTGGCCTGTAACTAACACTCGATTTCATATTTTAAGAGTGTAATTGTCAATCTGAGGCCCCGACAAAACTAAAAAAGTATATTTACGAATACATTCTTCTACGGCCTAACTTATTTGCTGCTTAACAAAACTATGGAGAATATAAAGGCCATTCACCAATAAACTCAAATACACTAGTAGAGTTACAGTACTGAATGAAACATACCAAAAGTGTTGTAGCTTTCGGGAAGAGAAGGATTAAACTGAACGCATACAACCTATATGTATTATGTTGCGTTAAAGGTCAAACAATTTAGTCATCAAATACTTAAGTCCCCAGTTATAACATATTTCAAATGATCTCAAGAATGAAAACAAAGGCTGGCAGTCGGTTGTGTTTCTCATGCTTTATTTAACGTACAAACCTTTGATGTTTGATATTTGGTGTAAACATCAGCGAGAAAACTGCTATCAATGAACAAATCAATTTTCCAACTTACTTCACTACGTTCATTTAATTGTTCTCGCCAACCATCTACCAATTCATTTTGACCTGCCACTCGGACCATCTCCCTCAAATCTGGGTTGTTTTTTCTGAAATGCTCAGCTAAGAGTCTTTCAGCTATCTGGATCACATAATTTTATTTAGAAATAACAAACCTTTGCTTTTTCCAAATCACGTGCTTGCTTTAATGCAGTCGACCGAATCAACATAGCTGATTTTCCCTTAGAACGCTCAGTATACACCTCGAGCAAATTCTGTTATCACTGCCAGACTAAGTGAACAATTTACCTTCTCATTTTCTGCATCACTTTCCAAAATATGAAGCAATTTTCTCCTTCTCTCCTCAAGATTTTTATCATTCTGCCCTTTATTTTGCTCTGCATAAGCCATTAAGCTGACAGGGTTGAGTTCTGATGTCTGTTAAACTTACCTTTGCTCCAAGAATTTGTTTGATGACCACTCTTTTTCCTTTTCTGCTCTTACATTTGAGCGGTTGAGATAATTTGAATGCTTCTCCCATTGCATGAATTTCTCAATTTCACTGGCCCTTTTTCTCATTAACATATCCTCAATTCGCATATTTTTTGAGTAGTTAAAATTCCCTATCCCTGGAAGGCTGACCATCACTAATGTAAACACAATTTTAAAAAGGTCACATTTGTGAAGGACACCGTTTATCCAATGGCCTTATTCACGAGAAGGTATAAATAAAGATGACTTCTTCTCTGGGAATTCCCGATAGTAAGAGAAATTTTGTTTACCTTCGAATACTTTAAATCTTGTAAGTGGTGCCACTCACCGGACGCAATCGTTCCAATATCATAACCATACGCAGCTAATATCCAATATCGTTTTTACCACCTGGCATAAACCAATTTGATTTCTTTGTGCTCGCCTCTTGATTTCGAGGTGTAGGTTCCTGATCTTCGGTAAGCTTCTGAGTAGCTCGTCCCGCCACTCGACTGTCGTAGCTTTGGTTGTGTGCTGGAATTGGTAGTGCTGGAATTAATTATGTGGTTTGTAGTATGAGGTGTGTTGAGACTGTTACTACTGTGAATGGAGTTGATCCTTCCATCAGTCAGTCCTCCGGTGTCGTCGTCTAAGGACAAGAGATAATAATGATATATATAATTAGTGAAGTTATTCATTCTCCACAAGAGTCAATGGCCCCCGATCCCAAGACTAGATTTGAGCATGACCTTAACTAGGTTAAGCCCCTTTTAGACAAGCTACTGCCAAAAACAGTATCAGGCATTACTATACATAGCGTGTATAGAATAGGCCAAAAGCCTGACCCTACAGTAAGTCAGCCTGTACGCCTCCTCAAAGTCGTACTAAACTCTAAAGAAGAGAGGGATGCTATTCTAAGCAACTCTCATATCCCTAAAGGATCAGGCATATGTGTCCGCGCCCACTTAAACCTAGCAGACCGTGTCAAAAGACAGTCTGCGGGGCTAGAATTAAGCGAACGACGCCGAAACGGCGAAAATAACCTTAAAATTAAGGGTTTTCGGGTTGTCCACGTTCGCAGTTTAATGATTCCGAAACCTCTGTGGGTAGGCCGGGGAAGCACCAAACTGAATTGACAGTTTGCTACACAAACGCTCGCAGCCTGTTAAATAAACGGACTGAGCTGGTTAACATGACAGGCTCCGGAAACCAGGATGTAATTATTATCACAGAGACATGGCTCACACCCGATATCACTGACAACGAAGTTAACCTGCTGCGTCGGTGGCACAGTGGTTAGGACTCTCGCCGACCATGCACATGGTCCGGGGTTCGATCCCCTGCCGGCGCACACCCGATTTCTATGGTCGGCCTGCAAAATTTGGGCTACCGATATCCATGCTGAAAATTCCACACTTGTACTGAAAATACGGGGTGGAATCAAGCTGTAAATTAAAATCAAAACTTCGAAGTGCATACGGTGGACAAACTAAACTGCAAAGGAGGTGGCGTTTTCATCTACCTCAGGAAATGCTTAACCGTGCGTAGCATCGAAGCACTCGCTCACAAAAGTGAATCGTGCGAACTTCTACGTTGCAGACTTAAATGAATAGGCCAAGATGCTGACCTCATTGCTATGTACCGCAGTCCTGACTGCAGTGCAGATGACTTTCTAATAGAGAAGCTAGGCTCTTGCACCTCGAAATGTCGAAGTCTCGTAGTTGGCGACTTCAACGCCCCAACAGTTGACTGGACAAACCTTACAACTACATCCTCAGTCAACTCCTTTGATCATAAACTGCTGGAATCTAGCATTTCGCTAGCACAGGTCCAACACGTCATTAAGCCAACGCACTATGACTCAAAGCAATCCTCTTCGACTCTGCGCCTAGTGATTTCCCAATCTCATTCAACATCTTCCTCTTTTAGGAAGATGTGATCAAGCTGTGCTCACTTTCAAGTTCACTGCAGCATTACTACTGGCCCAAACTTCATCCAGGCCAAACGCTTCGAAATCTGATATAAATGCGATCGTCTCAGCAGCCAACTCAGTAAACTGGTACATGAAGCCAGAGTCCCAAGTAGAAGCTGCATGAAACCAATTTAAATAACTTTTCGCTCAAGTCACTGAACTTTTCATCCCTTGGTCTGTCCCGTAGGGTCGGAAACATTGCCCTCCTTGGATAAATCGAATGATTTGTAAGTTATTCAGACGTAAACGTAAATGTTGGAACCTGTTTCACACACTTGAGAATCCTGAGACCAGGGAATTATACAACACTGCTAGGAACAAGCCATCGCAGAAATCCACCAATCAAGGATGAAGTTCGAAGCAAATCAGGCTCAAAATGCAAAGGCTTACACTAAAAAAGTTTTCCCGTACATGAACTTCTTCAAGCCACTTCTCTCTGAAATGTCACTTATATACTCCACGATAATCCTTCTACCTAATTACTATTATACTCTATTTTATCTCAACTTCCTAGGACTTTAATAAAGCTGAAGTTTACATTTTTTCTTTTTTCTCATTTACACTCTTCTCTCGCATAAAGTTCGGTTGCTCTGATGATAAAAAAACATAACAACACTCATTTTTGAGAATAACTTTATTTTTATAGAAAACGTCATAGTTTTCCATGCTAAGACCAACATGGTTAGCATCATACATTGCAAATGTGCACTATCATATCAAGTACTGTATAGCTTATTCTTGTATTTTTCTTGTAAGTATACTTCCAATAATGTATTATTGATGACTGCATTTTATACCACTTTGTAGCTGTGCAGGATTTTCTCCTATTCCCGAAGGAGCGTTGAAGCACGTGAGGTCACAGTACCCACTCAAATATATGTTGTTTATCGATAGGCCATTACTATCATCAGGAAATGGAACGAAGTATGGGTTGTCGCTCAACTTCAATGGAGACCTTCGTGAAAGATTCACAAATTAACAATTATAAGAATCTGTTCCGATTGCTTGTACTATAATTCAACAATTTGAACTTTTTAAAAAAGTGATGTGTGCTAATTCACAATTGCAATTTGTAACATAATTGATCGTGCCTGTAAAACTGACATGCATTTCATGTAAACTTACCCGTTTATACGAAATATAAATTATTATTATTAAAACACTCAGTGGTGTCCCAAACCTGATTATTGAAAATGACACAATCGAAGAAGATCAAGAAAAGGCAGAAGCATCAGTAGATTATTCCTCCCAAATCTTCACGCAGATGTCATCACTCCCGATAGGATCAGCTCTGGCTGAATCACAGAAACTCGGGATAGATTCCGTTGATATTGACCAAGACCTCGTGTTCGACTGCCTAATGAAACTAGATGCAGAGGAACCAATGGCATAAGGTAATCTTCATCCAAGGCTTCTCAAGGGGCTATCAGCTCACATAGCGGCCCGTTGACCGCGATCTTCAAGCTATCTCTCCTAAATGGAGTGTTGTCGCGTGACTGTAAAGAACCCATAGTAACCCCCCTCTACAAAGGAGGATCGAGACAAAGTCCTTCAAACTACAAATCTCATAGTCTTACCAGCACTTTAATCAGGATAACAGAAAGAATCGTCACAATAAGTATCATGGCATATCTGGAAAACAATAACTTGTTGTTCATAGCACGGCATGGATTCCGAGAATTCCTATCATGCCTGTGAAACCTTACTGAGGCAAGAGAAGGCTGTTTCAAGTCAAGGGACAAAAGAATAACTGTCAAAGTTGTCTTCATAAACTTCAGCAGAGCCTTCGCCAAAGCGACTCACGAGGTTGGAAAGTCTTGAAAATTAAAGGTGCATGCTAAACTGGTTAAAAATATTTCTCATTATTAAAGGACAGAGGGTCAGGATCAACTGAAGCCCTCCTCCTGGACAACAGCACTCGGCGGAGTGCCAAAAGATAAGGTTCTCAAATCTCTCTTACTTATTTCGAATATCGGTAACTCATCTGTGCTCAACGATCCCCCAATGATCCTGTATGTAGATGATTTAGGAATTTGGATAGAGCTGAACGTCGACAGTGATGCGCTCACATCGGAGGGAGCACAGTGATTCAATAAGGGATGCTCCCGATCAAAGTAGCAAAACGTGCAACCATGTGCATCGGACAGGCAAGCATCAGATCCTACGAACTAGAGGGAATAATGCTCCCGTCAATTCAAACTCATTTAGATTTAGGTATTATAGTGGGTTAGGACTTAAAAACTGCAGCATGTTGTCCCGCGGTGACTGCATTTAATTTCAGGTCCTAATGGGACTTTGGTAGAGCCTTTACTATTATCACCAGAGATATGTTCACTTCCTTACATACATCTCTGGTGAGGTGAAAACTTGAAAATTGCATCCAGGCAGCCAGTCCTTGCCTGAAAAGGGACTCACATATTCCAGAAAGGGTTCAAAGGAAGGTAACACTTATGGTCCTCGGCATGGCTAATTTATCATACGAGGAAAGACTAAACAGTTTAAATCTCTTCTCCCTGTCATACCGTAGGTAGGGAGGAGATTTAATCATAATGTTTAAAATTTTAAGTAATGACTACGGACCTGACCTATTCTCTCTTTTCCTTCCCACCAGGTTGGAACACCTTAAAGGACATAGCAAGAGGGTTAAAAAGCCAAGAAGTCATATTGTTGTTGAGTACTTGTTCTCATACCGAGTCATAAACACTTGCAACCGACTCCCGGAAGAATTGGTGTCTGCAACCTAAACTGATTCATTCAAGAAGGATTAAGAGAACAACAGAAATTTACTAGAAAAGGATTAACATATGCTTCAAGTCTTCTATCCTCCATCAACGGCTGAAATTATCCCGCATGCTCAAGGTCATTGATGGAGTGAGACGCTCAAAGGTCATTTTCGTCCATGTTAGTCGGCCATGTTGGATTGCAGTTCCGTAGCCGTTCGTTCACACATTGGTTTTTACGTTTATCCTGCAGTTATTCACAACTTATCTTGATGCATATTGTTCACAAATGTTGCGTTTCAACTCACTTTTGTTTCCGTTGCTGTTAAAATTAGTTATTTCGTTTGTTTTGAGTTTTTTACCTCCAGGTCAGTGCATTCATTTCATTATAATTGTTTCATACCTTGCATTCATGGGTGGTTTCAGTGTTTTAGTTGTTTTTCATCTATTAATGAAATAGTGCTGTGTAG